ATTTTTCAATGACAACCCGACGGGATGCCTGGCTCACCGCGTAAGGGTGAGACATCTGCTCCTCAACGGTCCCTGTTCCCAAACCTGGGAGTATTAGGTTCTCGTACCCCAGGAAGACTCCTTAGTTTCTGAGTGGACGAGTGACTAAACCAAGTTCATGCGGCCAGCCCGACATTGACCACCTGCCCCTGTGGCCCTAATAGCCAAACAATCACAAAAAAAAGGCTTACATGTGCCGGTATGGTGCAATTCAGCCTCAGGTTTAAATCTGAGGATGGTCTTCTCAGTTCCCCATGACTCTCCTTGCTTGCTTCGAAGTTTAGACGACGAATTTCACACCTACATACCGGTTAGTGCGAAATAGGAAAAAGATTGGAAAAGTAGATGAAAATGATGCAAAGGATGAAAAGGACAGAAGTTACCTTATGTCACTTTGGATTTTATCATCACACGGTGCTCTTCGACTAGATTTCCCTTCATTTCCCTTTCCTTCGGCTTCAGCTTCCATGACGCTCCCACCTCTGCTAGTTTCTCTTCTTTTCTTTCCTTGCGGCGGTCGTTCTCTGCTCTTCCCCTCATTCTCCTACTCGGCTACGCACTTTCTTTCTCTCATTTCCTCTTCTCCGACCTTTTCTCTCACCCGAGCGACTCTCTCCTTCTTTCTCTCATTTTCGTCTTCTCCTTTCAAATGAAGAAAAAACCTTAAATTTTTCCTTACATACCCGTCTCCCTAGGTCATTGGATCTTGCAAGGATCGATCTAGGTCATTTAACCTGAATAAAATCCCATCTATTGGATCCTTCAAATAGTTCGATCAGGACCGTCCATCTCCTGATTTTTTTTTGCCCCATTCCACTTCCATTTATTTATACTTTTACCTCCCTTTTTCTTACTTGTTTTTATTTAAGACTTTAAATTTAATAAAAATCTCTTAATTTTTAATATTTTTTTCATTTAAACCCTAATCCTAATTTGATTATTTATTTATATATCTTTTTTATTTTATTTAGGATCCGAATATTACAAGTGTGGATTGTAAGGACTCTGTATACCTACTCGTTTAGTCTGAATCGAGGAGGGGAGGGTGCGTGTGTGTTTGAAGTTCAATGGATATGGTGAACCTGTATATGGATAGAGTTTGAAATCTAGTTCAGACGTGAATAGGTGTTTGTGAGAGTCAGTCACCTAGCAAATATAACTGTTGTGGCCAATATGAGATTTTGTATGTGTGTTATCATGCGATGGGGGGATCTGTTTCGCCTCTCCTCGACGATGATATAGTTGGTATCGCGCGATGAAACCTTAGGTGTGATATTCAAGTTGAAAAATATTACAAGGAAAAAATGCAAATTTTCTTTATAAATCCAAGTGATATGTGTGTCTGAGTAAATCTGTTTTGGTTTGAGAAATCTGTGAATCCATAAACGTGATTTGAAATGAGAATAAGAATTAGGTTAGAAGAGTGAAGATTAGAATATGTTTCGTGTGATAATTTGTTTTGTTGTGTATTTCAATTGTGATGGTTGTTTAACATTTTCTTGATGATAAATATTATTATATTTTATATATTACCTGAATATATATACGTAAGTCTCCGTTAAAGAATCTTTTTCTTACTGAACTCGTGAAGTTCATCCCAATTCACCCATGCAAGTCAGAAAAAGTCCAAGATCAATGAAAAGATGGAGAATGAAACCTTATTTGTTTTTATTTTAATATTATAAATTAATTTAAATATCTTAATTATTTGTAAATAAATAATTATCATGTTACAAGATATGTGTATTAAAATGTAGTTTTGTTGCATATTTAATATTTATTTGTTCCACTTGTCATAAATATTGTATTAACTTTAGTATCCACCGACATTGGGTTTCGAGTTGTTACATATTCTTCACTCCATCCCATCAGAAACTATATAAGTTTACTAGAACAATTGTAATATGTCATATGCTTGTAGCACCACGACTACATTGAGGTAATGGTTGTAAACATTAAAGCTCATCCCATAGTTTCTTAAGTTTTGTAAAATGTTAAACTCCAGTTTAATTTCCTTGAGATATAAAATTAATCTCTCGTTGTAATTGGTACAAAAGATGACCATTACACTCTCTAAATCTCTCCCAAACTCCTCCTGAAGTTCCTTAGCAGATGCAGTATAAAGAAAAACATCAACAATATCTTTGGAAATAGAAATTAAAATCCAGGATTGCACCATGCAATCAGCTTTTATCCATCTCTCATAATTGTCAAATCCCAATACTGGTTTTTGATATTTCCTATCAATAAAACCCAATTTGACCTTAGCATTAAGTGTTATTCTCATTGAACGACTCCATGCAAGGTAATTGTTCTCATTCAAAGGTGTAGAAATAAGAACCATACATGGATGATTAGAAGATTGAAGATAAATGGATCATCATTGCTAATAGTAGTAAAAGATCATGCATCATGCGGATTTTCAATTGAACTCTCAACGTTCCTGCTAATCTCTTCCATATTTTTATCTCGCAAATCTATCCGTCTAAGACAAGAATTCTATTTTTGATTTGGATCATATATACTTTGATATTATGAGCAGTTTCAAAGCAAATAGACTTAGTTGAGAGGAAAAAACATACTCATATTTTCTCTCTGAAATGAATGCTAAAGAACGGCTACATTTATATAATTGTGAAGGGAAAAGAAATGCATAACAAACGAGCAAAAAAATAACAAAAATGTGCTAGCATAGAAAACTACCTAACAACCTAAAAACAAAATTAAAACAAAATTAGCTATGTACACTAACACGCCATACAAAGCATGATGTATACACATGCCATAATATACATCATAATCTACATACTTTATAAGTATGAGCATCCAATTGGCCATATACTTATGAGGTGACCTCAAAACTTTCTTGCCCGTAAAATGGAAAATATAAGGCAAAGAATGATTGTCATAAAATTGTAAAAGACATTGGGACACTTAGTGCATTATGCATCCAGATGGCCATGAGAGAAGAAGTTATAAATTATGTTCATGAAATAAAAAAATTATAAGTGGATTAAAGATTTTCTAATAAGAATATATAGTTGAAAAAAGAGATATCCTAATTAGAATATGCGGGTATGTAATTTTAAGCATACTTTAAATTGACTTTGTTAGTTGAGTAAAGTATTTACCTATATTATGCTTCTAATGGGCTTTATTTTGATTTCTACAAGTGGTATTACTCAAATTGAGTTACCATGTCCAGCTTCTTCTGATTCAACAAACCTCTTGTTTAGGGTTTTATATATTTCATTCATAAACTCAGAGTTCTTTATCGATACCCTTAATAAAACCTCTAGTTATTGCAATTTTTTACACATGATCATGACACCTTTATTACAAGCATATATGTATAAGATGTGTGGTTTTGATACCAAATAAAAGAGAAAGTGAAAGGTTCACGAGTGGAGAATGTGATTCATCAATCATGTTCATTCAATTCTGGTACCAAATTGTTAGGTATACAACAAAGAGAAGAGAACATAGGTAAAAGAAAACTTAATTGGCTAAATGAATGAAAAGAATTAAAAAATTTAGGAGAAAAAGAAGATTGAACATTGTTAGTTTTAATTCTTTTTTTATGCTTCCTTTAGTCTATATCTTCTACATCCTTTACACAAAACATTCCAAGATGATAACCATTCTAACTATGTTGTTGACTTGGCTTAACAACTTAGCTAGATGTCGAATACACTAGAAGAGGGTTGTGAACTCATTACATTAAGGAAAAAATAGAATAATCATAAATTTCTTAAAAAATTGGTTATGACCCTGACATGGTCCAAAAAGCTCGCTACATAATCAGAGACGCATATTGTTGACAGCTCATCAGTAGCATACTAGAGGCTCAATCGCCATCTACAATCTTCACCAGCCAAATCCTTGACGTTTTTATAAAAATCACGTATCATAATTACGTCATCTTTTTTAAAACTCAACAATCACATAATATTTCACATATTACGATCATAAATCATAGTTCAAATATTCGCAAGATCTAACATCGCATTGATTTCGAACTGACACATCTTTTATTACTATGTGTAATACTCTAAGTCAATAATGTCACAACCTAATAACTCTTTTGAATTCAAACTATTAGTACCACGCAACTTTAATATTTATATAAAATTCAATAATCAACTATCTTTTTTTTATATAAAATTCAAATATCCCATCTTTTTATAAGAGAAATCTTGATTATTTTTTTGAAGGACAAACTTTAACTTTGGTGGTCTTGGGGTGTTTTATATTTATAAATTTCTATTTTCTAGTTGTTTCTTTTTGGTACAAAATTGTCTGGCGTTAATAAGTGTAGCCATCATGTTTGGCAGACAATAAAAGCTAACCACAAAAGATGAGCTCATATATTCTACACTTGTTAAATAGTATCTTCATCGTCAGATGTTTTCTTTGGAGAGGACAATTTTGTCTTTGGATGGTCCACCTTCAAAATTTTTACTCTTTATCTTTCTCAGTACTCATAATATATGAAATTAAAATGTTCTTGGAGAATTAAATTCTTAACATAAAATCTGAGTTAAAATGGCTGGCATGTCCTGTGTATTTTTTTTTTTCCCAATTTTAATTTTTTTTGTTCTTTTCTGAAGAAAATTGTTACAGTGGTTCCAATTTAATCTCACACACACATATATGTTTTAACTTTACTGTACTATTGGCTGCAAATTAAAATTAAACATACCCACTAACTTTTCTCAACTCGGGGCCTTCAATTCTGCAAGAAAAATAATTCTTCTGCTGCCTTTTTATCCTATGTTACAAGATATAGCATACATGGTTTTTGTACCTTTTTTCTACAAAAATTTGAAATAATTTATAGACTTTGTCAAATCATCTGTTATCTAAGCTACTTAATAATTTGTTGCTAGATTCAAGAAAAATATTTTTTGGATTTTTTAATTCCACTCTATATAAACTGCACATGGTTTAATCTATCGATGTCCAACTGAACTTGGAAAGTTAATTTACTGCTAAGAATCTCCAATGAAACTGTCAAACTCGAGCAAATACTTAACAAAAATAAAATAATATCTTAGACCTGGAAAAGAATTACCTGCACATATATGATAAACCAACTAATCAATCTAATGAATGTTAATTCTCATTCTTCTCCATCATCATCGTCATCACTTCTACAATCTTCTTGCTCACTGTCTTTGCCATACTCATGGTTTAAGTTCTCCTTTTCCTGGCTTTCTTCTTCATCAGCAATTCCATCTAGATTCAATTTTGAGGAACCCATTTCACCATATTCGGAGTTGCCACTTTCCTTCCCTGAAACAAGGGCATCTGAAACTTCTGAATAGCCTTGTCTTACTGCTTCTTCATCATCACTCTTAGTAAAACGCCTAAGAGGAGTACTGAAATAGAGCTGATCCAGTTTATCAAAATAAGGGCAGGTTTTAGAGTTTAGAGAAAGCTTTGATCTGCCACTCTCTTTGGCTTTCCTAAAATACTTGTTTATGTTCTCCCATTTTTCTTTACACCTTTTGGCATTTCTTTGATACCCCATTGAAGCCATTAAGGAGCTTACCTCTTCCCAGACAGGTGCCTTTACCCCTGGTTCTTGGAATCTCGTTTCTAGGCTACTTCTAACTTCAATCAGAGCCTCAACTTCAGCTTTAAGCCATCTGCTATTCGAGTCAGCATTAACGGGTTCCTTTGGTCTTTTGATTTCTGGTTGAAACAACATTGGAGGGTTTCTACAAGGAAGATTGAGGCTCTGCCCTGTGATTTTCTCTATGTATGAGATAATGATAGCTTCTCTATTTGAAGCTACAGCTTGCTCATGGGCTCTTGCTATAGCTTCCCTGTTATGCTTTTCAACCTGTTGGCGCCTCCATGAGTCTTCTCTCCTTGTCCTCTCTTTCTCTATTCCCTCAATCGCTTCCATGAACTTTCTTTGAAGACCCTCTTGGTGATCCATCACCTGCTTAACCAACATCTCAAAAAAACCAGTCATTGAACCCAGATGCTCCCTCAAGTTCCTCTTCTTCTTCTTCTTCCTCTTTTGGGTCTTCCACAGCGAAGCTTCTCTTCCTATGGAGATATCGGAGCCCGGATCAACTCCTGCTCCAGCGATACCAGCATCAACATTTTCACAATGATTATTGCTGCATTGTATTGTGGGTGAGTTTTGTCCGGTGAGGGCAGACCCAGAACCCGTTTGATTATTTAGTTCGCCAATATTTGCACGACTATATATCGCTTCAAGTTCACCAAAGAGTCTGCACTTATTCTCCAAATTCTTGCGCCTCCCACTGCTTTCATCGACTTCTCTGAAAGCTGATTTCTTGCCGTTTTTTCCCTCCATTTCCTGTTCTTTATTGTCATTGCACTCTATATTTCCAGAATTGATGACTTCTTTCTCGAGAGGTTTCCTGTAAACATTTTCACAAACACATGGAACCCAAGAAGAAAAAAAAGGCTACAAACATAGGATTTCGAAAGAATATCATATATATGCACGTGCGTGTGTAGAGTGTTGAAGTGAATTACCAAATGGGTTCCTTGATGGCAGCAGAATCTTCCTGGGGATTCCAAGGAGGAGGTACTACTGCGACAGAATGCGCGCCTTGAAGAAACGAAGAAGTGAATTGTTGAGTCAAAAGAGCCTCTTTGTTAGCCGTAGCATTATCATTGAGTCCCAGCTTGAAATTAAGAGGGAAAAAAGGGTCTTGTTGTTGAAATGGCTGAAGCTGATGGTGATGATGCTGCTGAAGCAATTGAAAAAGGTTCTGGGGTTGTTTCTGTGGCTGGTAGAGAGGATTAGAAATGGAGAAAAGAGAAGAGGAACAGACACCAATATCCATTGGCACGGTCTGCTCATGTTGGTGCTGATGAGGAGTCGTCTGTGGAAGTCCATAACTGGGCTGCATATCTGCAGAGGGTATTAATTGTTTTACGGATGCAAACAAAACCCTAAAGAGTAGGAGAGGAAGACGGAGATAAATGATAAAAGTAGCAAAACTACGACAGCCTACATGGGAAGACGCCTCCAACACGTCATCTTCTCTTGCTGCTATTATATGTTAGGGTTTTTGGGTATCTATTTCCTACTCACCTGTTTTTTTCTCTTTCCCTGTAACTTTTTCAAACATTTGTTGGCACATATATATACATATCTATATATATATATATGTATACTAATTTTCAGACATTTGTAGGCGTCCGTTTTTTATATTTCTTAAATACAATTAATGCTATTATATTAAAAATATTTATTCTGTTTTGTTTTCTGAGCTTTCAGATTAAATTATGTAAAAAATTTCTATCACAATTATAAAGGATTGTATTTGTCAATAGGAGTAATATAGAAATCACTTACGTTTATACTGTTATTATTAATTTATACATTTTTAATTCTACATGAACTAAAATAGTATTAATTATAATATATAATAAATTTAAAAATGTTATATTTAATGCATATTAACAATAATAAATTTGAATACACATATTTTCATGAAAAAATATATAAATATACTATATAAATTAAATATTTTTAATTCAAATGACTGATTTTAATAATTATTAAAGATATAATTATTAAAGATGAAGAAAATTATGGTACTAAAAAAGAAGTACATCAATATGTTAGAAATGAAATATATCCGAGTGTTAGAGATTAAGCAAATTAAGTTAAGGGATAAAATTATACTCTTTATAATTAATTATAATTAAATGACTAATAAAGTTATAATATTCAATAAAATACACATCAATGAAACAAATATTTTTAATAAGATATCAAAGTTTTATGTTAAAAAATCTAAAAAAAATTTATATACCTTATTTGGCTCTTATTGCTAAAAAAAATCTAAAAGAGTTCAACCTTCATAACTAACCACTACTCTTATGCAACTGTTACCCAATTTAGGCGCACCTTCCAGTTCGGCCAGAACCAGTTGCTGATCTCTGTAGCCGTGAGTCATTAGTAGTAAGCTTTGACTCCCTCCACGCTCCTATCTGTTCAACTGCGTATTCAGTAGCTATCCATAAGCATGCATTGCTAGGCACATCTCTCTTTCTCGTCTTCATCATAACCAGATATGAACAACTTCATACAGTCATGTGTTCCGAGTAAAATTATTTCACTATTTTTTATGATTAATTACCATCTAATTTTTAAAAGATGTTGGAGTAACATTTCAAAATATTAGAGAAAATATCAATATAACAACTTTAGATCTTAGTAAATTTAGAGTAGAGATTCAAATATTAAGGACACTATTCAAGTACCTAGAAAAATAAACAAATAGCAATTTATTGGCACACTCATATATGACTTCTATCTATAAGAACTAAATGCTTTAAATAAATCATTTGAAAACACTTAAATTTTAAATTTAAAAGTCACAAATCATATTATCAATACTTCTAAATATTTTTATAAATGTGTTCTATGTCCAAGTAATAAGAAGGTCGTTGCTATGGATGATTCCCTCAATACTATTGCAGACAATGGCGATATTAAGCTTATCTCTACTGTTGTCTTAAAAAATGTATCATGTGTCTCAAACTGTGCACTAATCTTGTGTCAGTAAAAAAATTATCACAAGACTTAAACTGTAAAGTAATATTTAAATTTTCTCATTGTGACTTTCAGGACTTGAATTCAGAAAAGATGATTGGATGAACTAAAGTCAGAAACATACTCTACAATTTGGATGCACCTTGGGATCCTTCTATGTTATTACTATCGATCTCACATACAATATTTGACTTCACCATAAAAGACTTGGGCATCCATCTTTCAACATCTTAAAGGTGATGTTTTCTTCATTATTTAAGAATTCATAATATCAAAATTTACACTGCAATATTTGTGGGTTTGCAAAACATAAGTGTGTGATATATTTTTTAAGTAATAAATGAAGTTTAGTTCTGCTTTCACTAATCTACAGTGATATTTGGGGATCATTTTATTTACCTAATTTTTACATTCGATAGTTTGTGTCATTTATCGACGATTACACTAGAATTATCTAGCTATTTTTATTTAAAGGTAAATATGATGTTAGTCATATCATATCTTAATTTTGTAATATGATAAAAACCTAATTTAGAACATCCAAAAAACATTTTACCGATAATGGCAAAAAAAAATTCAATAACACATTTTTCTCATTCTTCTATCAATAAAAATTTTTTTATAAATCATCTTGCATCCACATTCCATAACAGAATAGTGTAGCAGAACATAAGAGTAGTTACCTTTTAACCACTACTGGTTGACTGAAAAAATATAAGAATGATCGTTTTTACTCCCGAAACCTCAACCAACATATGTAGTCAAAAGACTTAACCACCTCATTCTTCCTCCCTACTTGAATCTATATCCACCTATATGGTATAAAAAAACAAGATAATAGAAAAAAATAAAAAAAGAATAAAAAAAGACATCACGACTTAATAGATAAGTCAATCCCAACTTCTTGGCTCAACAAGATTTTTGAAAGCTCTATGACTTTGAAAAACTTGAATAAAACTCAAGAAAATTAGCTAAACAAATGTTGAGAAAGCAAAAACTTCAAATTTTATTGATAAATTAAATTGTGTTTGCATCTTATGCACTAAGACCTTTATATAGGTTTTTATTGACTAATTAATTAGAATAGGATTATAAATTTCTATCCAAACTCTTAGATTTAATTTGACTAAAGAACTAATACAAGAATACTAAAATAATTAAATCCTTACCTTAATCCTAAAAATAATAATTAATTAATCATATGGATAAAACTTAACATTAAAATATCAATAAAAATATTAATAAAATAATAATAGATAAATCTTTTCATTATTTCCATATTTTCCATATGCCTTCATCTCCTTGTAAAGTTCGAGTTGATGAAGAATTCTTCTTGAAAAATTTGCCATAAAATTCACATGTGGAAATATGATCAAGGAAGTCTCTTTTTTAGATTAAACTTGTTGCCCACATGCTTTGAATTTGTTTTGAATTTCAGTAAGAATCTACATGTGAATTAGATTGGAAAAAAGAGAAGAAGTGAGATTCTAAGTCAGATTCAAAAGTATATTTTCCCCCTAAGTGCACCAACTTGTTGCTGTGTGCACGTGGCGCGTGCTAGAGACCTCCTCGTGCGTGCGATTTGTGCACGTGTGTGGTAATAGTTGTATGCATAAGTGCACCCTGTACGTGTTATGTTGTGTGCAAGAGCTATTTT